GTCCTAGACGATGGTTTATGGTATTCTGAATATTACCACAAAACATGTTGAAGGTTGTTTTCGATTTTTCTATTTCATTTGTGATGGCACTTGTTTCATATTGCCTCAAATATCATTTAAAGCCCAGATTGAAATGCATTCTTTTGTGGCCTTTCTATGCATTTTATAACATTGAGACTAATTTTTCTGGGTGATTACTTATTTGATTTAACTTTTTGTGGTGGCCATACTTGACTATTTTTGCATAGCTTTTTCTTAGACTCAAAACCACAAAAACGTTTGCGCTCAGGTTTTGAGTATAGAAAACAATATTAGACGACAATGTGTTGTAAATTTCACTGGTATTTATGTGAACCAAAAGGATGAAAATCTTGATCAACCTATACAGCGGTAGGTAGGTTCGTGCAACAACATAAAAATATCAATATTACTCCCATTTATTTTCACCTTTTTGTTTTTTGTTTTTCATTTTTTTTCCTTCTTTGTTGTACTTGTTCTTATGATCTGGCATCTAGAATGCCTTGAGCTCAGCCTAATAAATTGACAACAGGCTCTGGCATTGAATTAACCTTTTTAATCACTTACTCATTGCTACTTGGTTCTCATGTGATGACCACGACATGATTGCCTAATAGCCATGACAACACCCAGATGTGATGCATGTGTTGCCTATGAATAGGAAGGTCCATGTGTATATGTTTCTTTGTAACATTTGGACGGTAATATTATTTTGTGTTGCTACAGGGCATATATTTGTAACACATTTTATATGTTCCATTTATGTATTACAACATAGTACACTTTTGTAATATTTTGCTTGTAACATTAATTTTGTGTTACTATAATTATTGCCAGTAACACATTTCACTGGAACACATTGATGAATATGTTACAAGAAAGCACTATAATATCCTTGTTTTGTAGTAGTGGGCGCTTCCTGCGCCAGGCTCTCTCTCTTCTCTCTCCCCCTATGTTGCAGTTATATGTTTCAATTGTTCCATACGTTGTAGAGGTATGTTGTATTTGTTATGGATGTTGCAAAAGTAGATCGGTGAATTTTCCACATGTTGCATATGTTGCAATTGTTTCAGAGGCATGTTGCAAGAGTATGTTTCAAGTGTTTCAGATGTTTCAGCGGTATGCTTCATCTGTGTTTTCTGGACGCATGTTGCAATTGTGTTTATCTGGATGTTGTATATGTTCTACACATGTTGCATTTGTTTTATTCGGATGTTGCGTATGGTTGTAATGGTTTTCAAGTATGTTTCAGGTGTGTTTTTCACGTGTTTCATAAGCATGTTTCAAGTATTTCAACTACCTTCAGACGCATGTTGCAACTGTTATATTTGGATGTTTCAAAAGTAGATCAGGCGTTGCATCTCTCCTCCCCACCTTATGCTGCATCGTCCCTCTCGGAGCCGGCAGGGCATCCATACGACACCGCATCTGGGTCCTTCCGAATCAGAGGCGCCGTGCGCCCTTCTCCTCTTGTCGCTCGGGCGGTGCGGGCCCCACGTGCAGTGCGAAATGGGTGTGGCGCTGCAGGGGCTGCGAAGGGGGCGGTGGGGGCTTGCAGAGAGGAGCGCGTCCGAGATGGCAACGTGGTGGCGGGATGGGGTGTGGAGTAGATAGGGCGTGGATGGGGACGCACACACGCATGCTGGCGTGGTTTCCGTACGCGGGTGCCGGAGCGTCCGGACGCGTCCTGGCGCCGGACGTAGGGGAGCTAGGCATACCGAAAAAAACTTTGGCCTTGTTAAAGCAACTCGAGTAGTATAGCCTTTGGATTCGGGGGCTCCTGTTACCTCCAAAACTCATATATTAGGCAAAAAAATATTGTAAATCATCTCGAGTGTAATCCTGAAAATTCATATGAAACACATATTCAGAAGTTTTATTTTTTTTAAATGATGCAAGTCTATAGTGCATTTGTAGATGTACTTGGTCACACAAACTAGATGCAAACTCAATCGACAAAATGGTGAAATATTAGGTGCAGAAAATTCTAGAAAATGGCAAAATATTAGGTGCAATCATGAAAACCCCTTGAAATACATATCTAGAAATTATTAAAAAATGTGAAAAGATGCACATCCGTATGTAGATGCACTCATGTACATTGTCACAAAAACGAAAGTTCAAGTAAGAACGACAAATTTCACGTGCATACGTACTACAAATAAAACCATGGAATATTTTACCCCTAATGTCTTGGCTCTCACCATAAATCAGAGCTTCAATTGGAATCTGGGCCCTCGCTACTTTTGAGGACCCTACATTTTGCCTTACATTCCAACACTGGTCCTCAATATTTTGCCAACACTTTTTATGACACATGGGGCCTATTTGTCAGTGGCTCAACCGTTTCTGTTTTTTCTTCTTTTCCTTGTTTCTCCTTCCATACCTCCAAAAGGTTATGCCTTTAGCAACGCTGCCTTAGAAGCAAAAAAAAAGAATATATAAGCATCTCTGTTTAAAAAACACCACTAACAAGTAATGCAAAGCTAAGAGAATTGGGAGCGGTGTGGTTTCTTGCGCCGATACGGATGGAGTAAAAGTACCGAGAAAGTACATTATGCTTTTTATGCCCTTTAGTATGCAAGCTAAGAGTTATTTACTATTTGTTTTTAAACTTTTGCTTGTCTAATGAACCCAGATAGTAAAGTTTCACATAGTATATTTTAGATGATGCCAATTACTAGTTGTGGAGCCTAGTTCTCTTTTAGGCACCACTCCGCGCCGCTGAGGGGTTTTATCATCTCCTTATCATCCCTTGGTCGTCCCGCGCACCTTGTTTGCAATGTTCACATACCCTTAACACCCCTTGTCATCCTTAGAGAGACCTGCCATGCCATCGTCTACGTGTCCCAACACACACTCGTCGATCTCCTCACATGCTAGGGCAAGGTGAGGAAGGGTAGGTGGTGTACCGGATGTTGGGAGGATTGCCTCACCTCTGTGTCAGACTGACAACGTCAGTCACTGCATGGAGGAGCTGGCTGGGTGAATGTGTGTGTTGGGGGTGACGGGTGAGGGGGTTGTTCAACTGAGCAGGGGGCACCAGGTCCTACAGATGCGATAGAGCTTGTGAAGGAACATACGTGACTCAAGGAGGGAGAAGGGACGTTGGTGCATGGAGGCAAACGTCCCTAACCATTGAGTAGAGGCTCCTCTAGACACCGTTACGAGGAGGGGCTTTGAGGCTTAAGTGGGACCTTTGGAAGTTTTTCTTCTGTCTGGCCCCTAAATTTTAAGTAGGATTTTAACTAGTATTTTCCACAGTTAACAAATTTGTAAATAAAAAATTGAGACGCCCAGAAAATGCTAAAAAAAATTTTAGCATGTTTAAAGTGTGTTGTACTTTTTCACTTGATGAGGTAGTTTGGCCTTGTTGGTCTAGCGTGTGTTTGGTTTGGGGACACAATGAGATAAGATGGTCCTATCCGAGTTTTGAGGGATGAGATCAACACTACTCTATGTTTGGCAGAGAGGATGGAATCATCCCCTTTTTATGTTTGGTTGAGGGACACTAGATGAACCACCTAACATGTGGGGGCCATTCATTGGTCTATTTCCCTTTTTTCTTTCTTCTTCCTCTACATTAGCATTCTTCTCTCTTTCCCATCAGACCCCTATCCATGCCGACTAGCTCCTGCACCCCCGCCTTGCGGAAGTTGCCTCGCCCGCGCATGCACATAAGCTTGCTCGACCCCTGCCTGTGCTGGAGGCCGCCTTGCCCGTGTGCTTGCCAGAGCTCACTCGTCCATGCCCGCCGCCAGATGTCGCCTCACTTGTGCTTGCATTGGAGCTCTCCTCGCCCTACCCACTGCCCACCTCCACCAAAGCTTGCCTCGCCTCTGCCCACCGCTGGAACATGCAACACTGCAAATCAGAGATCCGATTGTGTGCCCCATCAAATGCTGCCTGTGTTGCATCGAGCGCCGCCTACACCCCATCGAGGTTCACAGAAGTCGAGGCGCTATCAAGCTTGGCCGTCTCAGAGCTCGCACGCCCCTATTCTTTTCTTCCTCTATAGGCTCATCCCCTTTCGTCCCCCCATCCTCCTATTTGAGTTAGTAATCCCGCATATTGAAGGAATATTCCCTCAGATGGGTAGTTCCATTCCCCATGACTTAGATCCAATTAAACACCAAGGTATTAGGGATGGCTCCATCCTATGCCTCTTGAGTCCTCCAACCGAACACACCTAGTAAACTTGCAGTCCCTCATCTATCGCTCCACACCCATCACATGTAGGGGATCGTGAGGGAGCCCTCATCTGTGTGGAGAAACAACGACCGGGAAGCACATGACAACTCAGACATCTCTGCTCGAAGTTGGTTCTACGATGTCGACCAAAGATGAAGTAGGTATGCCCTCATCTCTAATTGTATAATAGTGAAGAGAGAGTGTATCTGGCTGATGATCATGCCACCGTGTGTCAAATCTACTAATGCATAAAAGGTTTGTACCAGTGGCACTTTCTGCAGGCACCCCTCGCACTACCATGGGTGGATCCATACCACACGCGCCGGATCCTGTGGTTGTCTGCCCCCCTACTAGCTTCTTATCCCGTGGAAGGAAGAGAAGAGATAAAAATATTTGCAAGATATGAATAAAATAAAGTAGAGGTGAGTGAAATAGGAAGGTAAATATGAGACGTTAGTTCTACAAAGGCATGTAGAGGGTTGAAATCTGGATACTGGAACCATACTTCTCAAGGGATAGAAGATCAAAATTTGAGGAATCCATTGGAATTGCTCTGGAGAAGTTCAACTTACGACAAAATGGATCTATAATTTGGTAACTAGGCTTTAGCGATCACAAAATTTCCCAAAAGAAAAAAACAAAAAGGAATTAGGAAAACAACTTGATTATATAGTTAAGCTTTAGTTCATATGAACACTACAACACTACAATCTTTAAGTATTATTATAATCCAATATACGCAAGCGGCACGACTGGTTTTCTCGCACGAATGGGGCAAAGGCCCAGCAACACTACTGCTCCCTTCCCTCGGCGATCCCATGCCACGGAAGCGCCATCCCACTCCCAGCAACGCTGGCCTGCCCCTGTCCTGGGCCTGGCTGCTGCAGCTGCAGCATCGCAGGAGGCAACGCCGGCTGAGAGCTCGAGCTGCCGTCACCGCGAGGCGCTACGTATGTCTGCCGCCCGCCCAGGCCCAGTTGCCACCCGCCGGCCGCCATCACCTCCTGCTGGTGCTGCAGCATATGCAGCTGCCGCATCATCACGGCCGACGCCAGCGCCTGCTGCTCGCCGGAGGCCACTTCGCCGCGAAACGCCGCCGTCATCATCTCCTCCTGCTGCCGCTGCTGGTTCTGTTGCTGCATCAGCTGTGTTACCATGGCCGCCGGTGGCAGCGCCTGCCCGCAGGATGCACCCTCGCCGCGTGACGCCGCGGCCATCATCTCCTCCTGCTGCCTCTGCCGCTGCATGTGCTGCACCATCACGGCATGTATCAGAGCCTGCTCATTGGAACCCCCCTCGCCGCGCGACACCGCCGCGGCGAGCGCCTGCCAGGCGCCCGCGGTCATCATCGTCTCCTGCTGCTGCTGCTGCTGCTGCTGCACCACGGCCGGTGCCAGCGCCTGCCCGCGGGAGCCGGCACCTTCGCCGCGTCCCGCAGCCACGATCGCCTGCCACGATGCAGCGGGCTGCGCCGCCTGCCACCCGCCCGCGGCCTGCGCCTGCGCGAACGCAAGGCGCGCGCGTGCGGCCTCCTGCTGCTCCTGCTGCTGGTGCTGCGCAACGGCCGCGCGCACGCGCTCCAGCTGCCGCCGCTCGTCTTCGACCACAAACTTCTCCAGAATGAGCTGTTCCTCGGTGCGGTTGAATCCTGCCACGTGTTGCTGAGTCATGACGTTGAAGGTCAGCACCTGCTTCTCGAAGTGCTCGAGAAAACCTTCCACCTGGGCTACCATGTCATCATCCCAAATCTGGATGCTTGACTTCTCTGTTGTGGTGGAGATGATGCTGCCGCCGCCATTGATGGGCTCAACAAGGTCATCGTCCTCTTCATAGTCTGCGAACACGTGGTAGGGTAGCAGCCTGGTCATGATGCGAAGAACACTATTAGTTTGTCAGTTTAGAGTTTCTGCTTAGCATGCCAACACTTGACAACGACTGATATTCGTATGAACAGTTCTTAGAGTACATGATATATATATATATATATATATATATATATATATATATATATATATATATATATATATATATATATATATATATATATATATATATATATATATATAGGGTAAGGCTATTCTACATCTGGCCACAGAATAACTTATTCTATGGCCACTTTGATTTACGATAATATTTGTACCAATTTACGATAATGACAATATACATTTACGATACATGAGTTACTATAATTCAAGATAATACTTACCATAATGCTATAGTAAATCACTTATGAGGAGAGTTACCATAATCTCGTAAATTAGTATAGTAATTAATATTAACTCAAAGTGGCCACAGAATAACTTATTCTGCGGCTAGCTACAGAACAGTAAGGCTATTCTACAGCTGGCCATAGAATAACTTATTCCATAGCCACCTTGATTTACGATAATGTTTGTATCAATTTACGATAATATGAATATGCATTTACGATACTCGTGTTACTACAACTCGCGGTGATATTTACCATAATATTATAGTAAATCACTTAGTAAGGAGTTACTGTAATCTCGTAAATTAGAATAGTAATTATCGTAACTCTAAATGACCACATAATAAGTTATTCTATGGCCAGCTGCAGAACTGCAAAATAGCGAGGCATAGCTAGGATGAGTACGTTTGCAGAACGGTGTGCAAAATGTTTTCCATCTAAGGACGAGCAGAGAGTCTTATAGTCCAACAAAGAGATCAATCACACACGAAAAAATTGCAAAAATGACACTCGAAAGATTGACTCCTTGATTATGATGACACTCGGGTGGATGACAAGTGAGTCTATCTGTGTCTATGAATGTGGGTCCAGTGTCAAATTTGTAAATGACCGATTTTTCGAGTCCCATGAAAATTGCAAAAATGACACTCGAAAAATTGACTCATTGACTATGATGACACTCGAGTGGATGATAAGTGGGTCCATCTGTGTCTATGAATGTGGGTCCAGTGTCAAATCTACAAACGACCGATGTTTCGAGTCCATTTTTTGCAAATCGCCACACACACAGTACTGGTAATGCACTTAGCAGCTGACACTCAGTAGTCGCAACTGATATACAAAACGGTAACTGGAAAAAAAAGATGAACTATCATACTAGAACAACTTGACAACACTAGTAATTTTACCCGAGTCAAATAGTAATGTTGATTAAAAAATTAGTTATGAAAGGCTAGCTAATATTCTGATAGGTAATATACAAGGTCTTATTATAATTGTAGTTTTTAGTTTTCAATCTATTGATATCACTCAAATATCTGTCCCTACAAATCTGTCACTTAAGAACACGATATTCTGTCAGGAATCATGAAAGAGAAATCCAAACAATCATACATCTGTCCCTACAAATCTGTCACTTAAGAACAAGATATTCTGTCAGGATTCAGGAATCATGAAAGAGAAATCCAAACAATTCTTGGGCAGGGTAATGTGTTCCGTGTTAATCATACTGAAATTAGTCCACACAAATCCAACAGAATCATCACGTTTGATGATTCTCAAACCATTCCAGTTTTGAGATGTACCACGATAAATCTCGTAAGCCGGGTCTCTGCATATAGACAATACTCTTGTTTTTTTCCCGAATCAAACAGTGCCACGCCAAGGGATCATATAACCCTTTTCCCAGAACAAATCAAACTCACCGCACCAAATCCTAGAGAACAAAATCGCAAGCCATGGAACCAAATCAGTCCACAAAATCTACCGCGTGTTCACTTTTCCCCGACGACGAGCTAATCCCAAAGCTCCTAACGCGCATTTCGGTAAAAAAATCCAAGCAGAATGTGTAGCAAATACGCACACGACGCTCTAAACCGCGTGGTGGTAAGTGGTAACGCTAACATCACGCATGAAGGCCAGCGGGCGCGCGAGAGAGGGGAAGATCGAACGCGCGCACGCACCTGCTGACGGCGTCCTCGACGGAGGCGAAGGGCGTCCTGAAGTCCGGGTTTAGGGCCTTCCATGCGTCCTCAAATGCCATCTGTTCCGCCGCGCGCGTCCGCGCCGCCTCCGCCGAGACGAGACTCCCGGATCCCTGCGACGGCGGCATTCCAGTTCCAGCAGCGACGGGGAAGCCCCGCGGCGGCTGCTGCATGGCGGGTCGGGGTCGGGGCCGCGCCTGTTGCGGCTGCTGTCGTAGGGCTTGGTCTCCCAATAGTCGGTGACGCTGGACAGTGGGATCAGCGGTCGTCTCTCCTTGGTCTCCTCCCATTCTCTCTATCTCTTTTCTTTCTCTCTTTTTTTTAAAAAAAAATATATTTTGGCTCTTGACGATATATAGATGCATATTGCTTAGACGTGAAGTATATAGAACTTGGGGGTGTCACGTTGTTTGCGTGTGGATTGCTATTGCCAGTGCTACTGAATTTAATTTGGATATTAATGTGTCCTATATATGGATATATAATAATCATTAATTTCAAGAGGAAACTGCACAAGAAAAACAAAGACTACTATGACCACTAGTGCTATTAAAGGGGTATTTGGTAGAGCTCCAGACAGCTCAAGATCTAAAAAACTGACCCACTTTTGATTTTTCCAGTTAATTGTCTCTGCTCCACGAAACTCATTTTAGCGTGTTGAGAATCCAAATCGTTCAAGGAAAAACCTCACGGAAAAAACTGTGTACTTAATGTTATCTGTACCATAGTGGTTTTGCAATATGTCAACGTAAAGCCGTTTAATAATAAGGAAAACAAAGGAAAAGTAACCACCTAAGAAACCTATGGGCTACTTTAAGCGATGTCATAGGTTTTACATTCCTTACGTTCATATTGTAGAAATATATGCGTGATTTATAAGTAATAATGCACACGTAAGGTGCCGCAGCGCAAATGTGAAATAAATTAAATGCAATGTAAGTTCCTGAAAAAAATAAATCAATAAGTTTTTCAAATAAAAAAAGTACAGAGCATATTTGTTGGCTTTCTTCAACTATTTTTAATATCTCACTCCTAAAAACTAGAAGGCAATTTTCTATTACAAATCCTAGACTATTTCTAAATCACCTCAGCCATTTTTATACTTTGTTTGTCTCTTGTACATTTATATTAGGAACCATGTCCTCTCTCGTTATTTTGCTCCACATCCTTACACCTCCATAACGACCGATTGGATGCGCGTGTATATTGCGGCGTGATTGGATCGATTTTCCTAAGTGCGCAAAGATTGAGAGTAGTTAAAATAAAAAGCTATTGGAGAGAGTTTTTTTTCCTAATCTTACTAAAAAACAAGATTGGGAGTGGGTTTTGGAAACTCCTGTAGATACTCTAAGAGATTGCTTGGATCACAACTCGATTATTATAATCTAGGTTATGCATAGGATTATTATAATCAGCATTATGAATTATAATAACCAGAGTGTTTGGTGATTGATTATGGTTGGTTAAAGTGAGAAATTCTTATTTTATCCTTTATAGTTTGGAAGTGGGACAATCAATTAGGAGCAAGTTTTACTTTCAACATCCATAATCCCCTATAACCTTTATTTCACTTGGATTATGAGATTATGGTAATCAATAGGTTTGACTGTAATAATCCGCATATAATCAATCCCGTTTGGATAAAAAATAATTATATAATCTGATTATTATAATCGGAACGATATCAAAAAGAGCCTAAGACCATGAACGTGTCATAGGTTCATTCCATAGCAATAATAATATATATACATAGCCAGGTCTTATGCATGCCAGATTTAAAATATCCACCATTTAAATATGCAAAGTTGGATATTTTTCTCATGTCTCTCTTCGCGCCAATGTGAAATCTCATCATGATTGGTGTAGGTTCGAAGGGTATTTCCTGTCCTATACAAAGAGAAAAAAGTAATAAAGATAAATATATGGGTAAGGAAACCAGCTATTTGTTGAGAATTAATGATCAATTAGGGATTAATCTCAAAGGGTGTCTTTTCAACCCATCTCTCCCAGCCTTGTAACTGCCTATCTGGGCCCCTATATATATATATATATATATATATATATATATATATATATATATATATATATATATATATATATATATATATATATATATATATATATATATATATATATATATATATACATTGTTCATTGAGAAGAATATGGACAATCATTTGCATCACTTTTGTCTCTCGCTCTCAGTGTCGAGAACTATTATTAATGATCAATTAGGGATTAATGCCAAAGGGTGTCTTTTCACCCCCTCTCTCTCAGACTTGTAACTGTCCAGATATATATACATACATACTGTTCATTGGAAAGAATATAGACAATCATTTGCATCATATTGTCTCTCGCTCTCAATTCTAAACACTATTATCAGTCTCTTCTGCCATGTACTACTCTGTCATGTGCATTCTAAACATTTTAAGACAACTTAAGGAAATACTTAAAGGACCCATGTGCCTATGTATTAAATCTAATTATGGAGTTTCTTCTAAAATTATGGTTTCATTAACAAATTTACCAAATCTAAGCATAGACACACTATGTAAAATGCATTATATTTCAATATAATTTTTTGAGGTCATATAACATATTATATCTATTTCAGGATGGAGGGAGTATATAATATATTAAATATGTAAGTAAATCATATATTTAATAATATTTGATTATATGCAGCTTGTGCTCACACAATTATTGAAGGCCCCTTTAAAATGCAAGAATTTTTTAGAACTATATAAAAATTGTACAGAAATTTATTTTTATAGGAAAAAAATTGCAGAAAACAATAAATTTCCCGCGTTCTAAAGAAAGCCTGAATGTGTGATTCTACATCCCTCGCTTGTGCAAGGCTGTCAGGTGCCGGTCTGTCAAAATGATACTTAGTCTACTATACTATATTTATGGAATATCAAATGTAGAAATAAAAAATTAGTACCTATATAATTTTTCTCTTGTATTATTTTCCTTCCATTTTTTATATTTAAGAGCATATGAGATGATTCTAATGATATCTTGCTATCAAAACTGTAACATACCGGGATTTAAGTATTACAAAAATACGAGCTTTCAAATTTTTTGCTTGAATATGTGTGCATGTAAAGGTTAGGTCAACACAAGTCAACATCTTTCCTTTTTTCGCCCCGAATTTAAAATCACAACTTCAAAAACATTTTTGCAACCACAAACCTCTTGCCACACCATTGACCAAGTCAATGCCATGACAAGATGTTTTTGAAACAAAATTATTTTTCCAAATAAATTAAATTTGGTTAAATTCACGCCACGCTCGAATTCAACGCAAGACCGCTTCACATACATTTTATATTTTATTTAAAATGAAACCCTAACTCCTAACTCTCCCTTTCCAAACAACGCTTATAAAATTAATCTATGCATTTCATAAGCATACAAGTATGCTTGGTATTGTTTGGTTTTATCTGGAGTTAATTTTATCCTAAATCTTCTTTGACAAAAAAAGGAAAATCCTTTTCCCTTTGTAAACCAGCGAGCCCACCTCTTTCTCCTCTACACATGCAGCTGGCCCGCCCCACCGTTTCACCCTGCGACCTAGCTCGCGCAGCCCCTCCTCCCACCAGGCCAAGTCGACCGTGTGGGCCTGATGTTCCCCTCCCCCTTGGCCTAGCCAGCCCAACTCCCTCCCCTCCCTTCGGCCCACATGGACAACAACAGCCACCGGCCTTCTCACCTCTCACCACGTGCGAAAGAGCTTATAGCCTAGTGGTTACAAGAGTCTCAGTAGCACCTGAGGTCCTGGGTTCCACTCTCCGTGGGAGCGAAAATTCACGGCACTACCGCAGCTCCCAGAAACAACACAGGTCACCTCACAGAAAACACCATAACTTTTTACTCCGAACTCCGTTTTCAGTGATCTTGGACTTTTCTGGAAAGCTTGTTTCGAGGGCTATCCAACCCAGCAGAGAACAAGCCCTGAGATCAACAAGTGCAAGTGTTGTGCTAATGTGTTTATCTCATGTTAGCACTTGGATTTGGTTAGTTTGAGCACTTGAGACTTGTCTATGATTCGTATTGCATCTCCCTTGATAGTACGGTATACCTATACTCAAGATCAAGAGAATATAATCATTTTAACCATTTGAGTATTCAATGTCTTCATATGCCATTTCTTCTCAATATCACTTCATAAGGGGTTGCAATCATCTTTATCTCATCTATTCGAATAAACACACCTTGAGCATGTGACTTGAACAATTTCCATAGATACGAGTTCACCTCAATGGCTTCAAGTCACTTTCACTAATGATTTGATTCTCAACATAATATGACTCCTTATAGCTTAATTAGTTCCTTGACTCAATGCCAGTACTCTCTTCTTCACCTTAGCCATGGTACCTCGGCCCTCAAGCCATCGCTTGCACTTCACCTTCGCTTAGTCCCTCGAAGCCCTTTCCTTGCTATCTTCACCTTATCAAGCCATACTCAAGTCACATCATATTAGGCATCCATTGAAAAACTATTTCTTTAATAGTATGATCCTTTCTTTAATATCTTCTAGATATGAATGTTGAGATCAATCAAGCTTTAATTTGATTCACATAAAGACATATGAATCAACATCAATATGGTCAAGCCAATTCACAATTCCTTATATCCTTTTCATCTTGGCTTAACACTCCTAACACTCACTTCAATATCTATCTTCATACTTCTAGCTTGATCAAAGCAACACAAAGTGATTTTCCAAATCTTTATTCATAAAGCAAACCAACATAGAGACCGACTTATATCCAATATGAGTTGTGTCCTTTGTCATTTAAACCTTTGTTTGGTATTTCTTTACTTATGCATTCTTGACTCATTCTTCAATCCTTGATCAAAGCTAATCCACTATCAAACTCTTCTTGTTCATGCAAAGCAAGCCATTATTTAGACCAATCCAAAATCATCAACTCATGTCTCTTTTAACATTTGCCAAATATGCTTGGTTTCTCATGATACTATGATATTCCTCAACATAGAAGTCATTTCATCAACTCCATTTGCATTGTTGTCTTTCTCTTGAACTATATTGTTTTCGTGATCTTCCAACACAACAATCCATAATTTTGGCCTTGATTTGAACATTATGTGGAATATCATCAAGTTTGCCTTCTTGTTGAACCTATATACACTTCTCATTCTACAATCCACAAGTGTATGCAATAAACTCAATTTCCTATTCAACACTTAGCAAACTTGTTAGACCTTTAATGGTGTTGTCATTCAATTCGCCAAAACCCACTAAAGGGCTAGATGCACT